TATGTAGTTATAGTTTTCAATTTATAATAGTTGTAATTTGTGTTTATAATTCTCTTTAGTTTCTATAAGATAACCTGAATAATGAATCTTGAAATCATATTCATTGTCTGTTTGGTTCTATTCTATAGTAATCAAGTCTGATAATATATACAAAGCAACGATATATTAAAAAAATATTTTCAATTGATTCACACTATAACTGATTCAGAATGTCACATTTTAGATTAGTTTATTACTTATCTGATAACGAAAATGATCGGTTATGTCATAACTAATCTAGTAACAAAATTTTATATCAGTTTTATCTATAACTAATTTAAAAATCCTACACCTTCTTCTTCCGTTATGGTATAATTGATGTACTTGACATTTTAGACCAATTTTGCTATATTAGATGTAGAAAATTGTAACTTAGTAGATTGAATGGAATTTAATCGTTAAAAAATATCTTTACTTATTACATTATATCTCTAGATCTCTTTTTCAACTAATGTAAAATCTCATTTTTAATCAATGTAACAAGTGGTTTATGTACCAGTAGCATATTGTTGAATTTATATCACAATGTTCATGAAAACGATATTTACTTTACTCGTTAAAATGATGGTTATATTTGCCAAGCTTTATTTGAATTGGCTAAATACAAGTAATTATTAGTTAGCCCATATAAATGAGAAATGCATTTCCAAACTATATTAAGATAGACTTTTGAACTCATCAATTGAAAATTGTTATTGTTTCCGGGGGCGGGTGACCATAACTCCATTTCCCTGGATAAGGTGAAAGGGTGAGTGAACCTCTAAGGCTTGATACATAGTGAGGCAATTTATATTACTTCATCACATTTACTAAATTCAAAACAAATAATTGTTTTAGAATAAATTTTGCCCATAGCATATGAAAGTTTATAGTGCACTCACTAACACTTGCTAGAGAGTATGTTGTATAATTATTATTATTATTATTATTATTAGGAGTAAGTAAGTTGATTCTCAGTATCTAGCATTTAGTCAAAGTATTTCATAAATCATAAACAAGCGAAAGACAGCAATGCAAATTTTAAACATTAAAAGATGTGGGGTTTATTAATTTTTTTGCGCAAAGTTATATTTTCACCGTTTCAAATTGAAAAATAACTAGCGGAGAGACAGCAACAACTAAACTTTTAGAGGGGGGGAAAATCATGCAAGTTTTCCGCTGTTGTCAGGAATGCTTAATTCTTTCTCTCTTTCCTCAAAGCCTCGTTTCACGTTCCCTTGTTAATGTTACGTACCCATTATGTAGCATACTTGCCACTTTTGAAAAATATATCGAAGAGAAACCCTAACAGCAATCCTCTTGTAACACGTACCCATATGAATCAAATAAGGTTGGGCCGTCACATAGGAAACTCAACCCAATGCGTCCACTCATCACTTCGCTTTAGATTTAGATACCAAATAAGCGAGCTGTGGTGGAGATCAAGATTGCAATATCTACTTGGTAAGCATAAATTCCCTTTCTTCTTCAAAGGTTCGAAAGCAACACAGCAAGGATACCCACCTCCTAAAGAAACAGTAACCACGCGATCGATCGTCACCCCTCGACCACAGCCACAACATCTTTTTGACCCTTTTGCTTTTTAGCTAGGTTCGCAGTATCTCCCTCTCTTCCTTCCTAACTTTTGGTTACAAACTATACCTAGCAGTTATAAACACTGAAGAAAGGACTATATATGGTGATGGCTTAATTTCTGGCTGGTTATATAACACATCATGTTGAGTTGATACAAAAACAGATATGCACCCTTCATTCACTCCTTAACTTTGAGCAGCCAATAACTAGTTAATTACTTTGAACCTCATTGCCAACCCAATAACTTGTTATTTCCCTGTGCCTGGTACTGTCGGATGTAGTTAAATGACAACCTAACCAATTTCACACGAGGTACAGAAAATGAAATTTATCTATCAAAAAATTAGTAAGGAAAATGAGTAAAAGGGTAACTAACATTTTTTTATTGCTTGATTCTGAGATAAAAAGAGCCGTTTCCAAGGGTGAATTGTTGAGGCATTCAGTTGTTTATGGACGTGATTCATTCATGTAAAAAATTGAAGTCTACCAGCTGCTGGGTGATCTATGATCAGCAGCAAGTAACGTTTCGTGTTTCATGAAGAAATCAATGGAAGAGAAAGTGTTCCTCCAATTTAATCGGATGAACGCAACATCAACACCTGTAACAGAAGTATATATCTATCTTTCTATCTTCTTCAATATGGAGCATGTGAGTCGCTTTCACTAACCATGCCTCAGGAGTCGCTTTCTAAGGTAATTGATTATGCAAATTCTTTTTAATTTCCTTTGTTGGGTATCATCTAGGCTGAGTTTCCAAGGTATAGACAAATCCAAAGGAGGAAAGGAGCTCTCTTTTAGGGCAATGCTCCATAAGTACTCGACTATAACTACTTAAATCAACTTCTATTAACATTTAAAAGTTGTCCGTCTAATATGCTTCAGGTAGAATCCAGATTTAAGGAAACGAGGTTATTTTATTTTTTTTTTCTTTTTTAACATGTGTCAAATAATGGGTACTAATCAACATGTGTTATTTCTATCTCCAATTTATTATATTCGCTCCTTCATTATTCAACCTACCCATGTTTAATGTTCAATACGCACCAGAGGAAGCACTTATTTAGTCATATCGGGAATTGAGGGTTCTATTAAACAGTACGCGTCTGCATGTTTTAATATTGACATAACAAAGGTTCATCAAAGCTTTGTCTCAATTATTTTTTAATATTTTGAGCGGCAACTATTTTCAATTATTTACTTGATTATTTTAATCATTTGCTTTTCTATTATTTCAGCGATAGTATCTGAGAAAGTAACTAAAAGATCAATTCGTAACAGAGATATATTCCTGTAGTATTAAAAATAACTTCAATTAGGCATATATAGAAATTTATATTATTTTTCAAAAATTATTTTTCTATAAAACTGAATATTTTTCATTTTCACAGTAAGTTTGTTTTATTTATTTGCTATTTTAACAATTTAAAATCCTTATTTATTTTTTAAATTTATCAATATATATTCTGGCTTAGTGGATTATCTGATGTCTACAGTTTTAATATATAATAATTAGTTAAATAAAATTATATCTTTTCAATAAGGAAACTATTAAACTTTATGCAAATTTATCTTTATTTACAAATATTGAAACCGGTGCATTAATATCTAATTAAAACCCACTCACATATACAGGCTAGATCCGTCATCTAGGTAATAGAAGATTAAAATTGTTGTCCTCATACTTGTGATCTTATTTTCCCCTCCCCCAGATATTCATTATTTCCATTATCTTTCCCCATAGTTTGTATTGAAATGCTTTCATTAAGAAGTTCAATATATCATATCATGAAGTTCTTTTTCAGCCACAATGTATGAACATTGTTGAGGGAATTCACAAATTTTCATTCCGTGTGTCAACTAAAATTCAATTATTAATCTTTCTATATTTCATATGCTACCTGTAAAGAAAGAGATAAGTATCCTTTTGGTACAGTTTGAGGATTTGATGAAATATTTTGGTAAAATTAAGAGTCCAAGAAATTAAGATGACGAATATGATGTTTTATACACATACAATTATCTTTCTAAAATGCACGTTATTTTTGTAATTTAAAAAACATACGTAATACCATAAAGCAGCATTCTCACAAGGACTAAGTTTTTATTTTTGTATTTTTGTTTTTTACTGGTGAAGACTAAGATTGTATCTTTAATAGTAATTTTGGTAAAAGAAATTGAAAAATAATAAAATGACACTTTATTGTTGAATGAACTAGTTCAATTACAAAATTAGTCAAATCACTAATATGATAATCTTATCCTTTAAAGGATCGAAAGGTTTACTTTAAACTTTTGAATACTACGTATTTAAGATGATCAAGTGAAGATTTGTAAATACTTAATACATCTCTATAGTACATTTTGATGCAAAAGTTTTTTTCCACGTAAAGCTTGTACAATGTACATATTCGTTTTATTGAGGGGAAATTTAACTTTTTATTTTAAAGAATGGGTGCAATAATCATTGGAATTTTCAATTCTTGTCTGAAGTCAAATGATCGGGTGAATGACACATGAAGGATTTAACATTTTTAACGCTGTATATAAGAAGGTGGAATATAGTGAGTACGGAGAACCTATAGAGTCAAGTTAATTTTAATTTCATCGAAAGGAAAATGCAACATGTATATGTTATTTTTTTATATTAATCTATAGGAATTGTTGTCGATCAATTCCCTATCAAGTTCGAAAAGAAATTTGAGAACATATTAAATAAAATATTTTTCTTTTGTATTTCAAATTTTTGTATGCATAGAATTACTCAAAAGTTTGTGTGAACATGGATGAACCGTACTCAAAAAGTATTTAGATTCTATAACTTTACAAGTGTGAGAAAATCAAATTTGAAGTTCTCATTGTTCTAGTGTGGTCCATTATTTTCTGGTGCATGGTCCACAGTTTCTATTCATTCTTTCCTCTTTCTTCTCAACAGCCCTATATAGATTCTAATCCCTATTTACAAATGATACATTATGTATGATTTTCGTTAAAATAAGGGGGGGGCTATTTATTTATTTAGGAAACAAAATTATGTCATTTTCCAAAGGACATACACCAACATGAATTAAAATAATAAATTCATAACTAATCAATACAAAATTAAAAAAGAAAAGTATAGCTAAATTGAGCGAATTTCAATATTACTTAAAAGGGAAGTTGGCAATAATTTGTATGACATTGGATATTCTTATCCCATTCATACTTTCGAAAAGAAAATAGGAAATGCCTTTCTACTGGCTATGACAAAGATAAAGGAAGTCCATTTATATGTTGATGGAAATGAGTCTTTACTATCCCATTCTACAAATACGACCATATAAAAAAAATGATGAAGAAATTCTAGTAGTGTAAACTCTCAAGTTCTCAAAGCCCTTTCAACCATTCTTATGAGTTTAAAGTCACAAATTCCATCAAATTTGACATTCATCTTTTCCAACATGAACAATCCTATAGATGAAAGGGAGCAGTGCCAAAAGAAGAGGAAATCTACCATCTGTGAAGCCTCGACTTTGAGGACTTCAAGGAGAAGATTCTACAACAACAAAAATGAAGAAGAGAGGAATAAAGGAGTCTCAACCACACTAAAGCTTTATGATGACCCATGGAAGATCAAGAAGACACTAACTGATAGTGATCTGGGAATCCTGAGCAGACTCTTGTTGGCTGCAGATTTGGTCAAAAAACAAATTTTGCCTATGCTGAGTGTAGATCATGCAAGGGCTGCAGAGACTGAGGAAGGAACCCCGGTTAAAGTTTGGGACATGGACACCAAATCCATGCACCAACTTGTTCTAAAGCGGTGGTCTTCATCCAAGAGCTATGTTCTTATTGGAAAGTGGAACCAGGATTTCGTGAGAAGAAGAGATCTGAAGAAAGGGGATGAGATCGGATTTCACTGGGATCCATATAACTGTGCTTTCAATTTCTGTGTTCTCAAACGAGCCGTTCCGGAGAATTAATCTCAGTGTTAGTATTACTTTATTTTCCTATCCATAAAAAAAACCATGAAACCCTCTCTATATGCTTATGTAAACATACAATAATGTTATTGCAATAGCATGTACTTCAAACTAATTATTAATTAGTACCAAGTTTATATATATATTATGGCATCCTATGAATTCCTTACATGTTCTTGTTGATTTCCCTTTCCCCATGCCATTCCTTCCATGTTTCATCCTCCAAACGTAGGTCTAACATGAGATCTATGAGTGCGGTTGAAACTTTAATTGAAAATTTAAGTCGATATGTATCATGCGGGTGTTTACTTCTCATTTCAATCATTACAATTGTAAAGTAAAGATAGCAGTAGACTGTCTGCATTACCTTCTTAGTTGATGGCAAGGGCACTTCACTCATCATTCAGATAATTGATGTAATTATAGATACTGTTACACATTTGTCGAGTATTAACCATAACATGCATGTTCTCTAGAACTGATAATTGGATTAAAAGTTCTCATATGTTAAAAAGTTTGTTGTAATACAGCTTTAGATAAGACTCGGTGGGTGTGTACAAATACATATCCTTAAATCAATTATTATTTTAAATGTGTAATGGATGCCATAAATTACATTCTTAAAAAAAGATTTTTTTTTCTTAATTCTTATTCGCATGTTTCTTCATAATCTATAAAAAAAAAAGGATGACAAAACTGATCCGGATTTATGAACCTACTCTCAACCATAAATGTAGCAGCATTTTCAGCTTAATAGTTCTACGAACGGATATTTTACAACGTAAGTTAGTAAAACAAGTATATTTTGGGGCTTAACTTTCAAAAACAGTGGGTGATCGAGGATGTGACAACTTAAGCATCCTCAAACCTGATGAATTTTGTCTATCAATGTTTTGGAACGCAAGTTTCGAAACTGTAACAAACTTGTATCTGTTCGGAATTCTAAAATTGAACAAATTCATCACTGCATATGGTTTTTGAATACTCCAAGAGTTCAAATGTTTCTTCAATTAAGTTCGATCACATCCTTTTGCCAGGATATTCTCCCTTCCTCTCTAGTTAAATGGATAAAGAGAACTTTTACGCTGATACAATTCATTATCGATTTTAACCTAAGTCTATATCCTTGTAGTATTTTAAATTTACGATTTATCCGTTTATTGTTTCCATATACTTGTTTTTTTTTCTAACAAATATTGTAACCTTTTTAGGTCCATATTTTAAACATTAACATAGTCACTCGTCCTAAGAAAAAGAAGCGCAGTAGCCAAGTTTTGTAGAGGGAAAGACGATCACTCACGAAAAAATCAACTTTATTTCTTAAATGAATTGATGAATGCAATCATGCAGCATTTACCGTACTTTAATTTCATTCTCTCTTAAGATCCACGTATATATATTCAATATAATTAAATAAAATCAAATTCAATTATAACTTTTATATATCTTTGGGATGTTAACACTTCTAGATTGATTAAGGTCGATGGATGCAATTATATATGTGGGATCTTAACTCTATAAATGGTGATGCAAAGTCAACGAGACTCCGAGCTAACATCTAGTTCATAATTGGGATTTCTATATCTTTCCCTTACAATCAAATTAGTGAAATAATTGTGGTAGATCATTTGCATATTTATTTTAGCACAAGAATAAACCTTTTGACCATTCCACCAAAGAATATGTTACCGTAGAATTTTCAGATATTTTCATTTTGAGAAAAACTTTATCTCGACCAATCCAGCTACCTAAGAACCTGTTTACTGTTGATTTTCACATATTCATTTTGACCAAGAACCTTCTTCTGACTGATCTTCTCATTTTCATTTTGTTAAAAGGGTGAATCTTGTTCTCCATTCTTTAGAAGTGCTGGTGCAATTCGAATGCCATGATTACACGAATGAATTCACTATATATAGATTTGACTCAACCATAGATAGAATGATTATTTTTTTACCTTGACAAAATTACTATTAGGATCTATTAGTTAGAGTAAGGAGTATTTCCTTACGAGAACATTAATTGATTGTTATTTCCTTTTGCGAAGTTGACAATAACTCACTCTCTATAAATCTATAATCATGCAATTTTTTCATTTGAAAATGTGGTGAAGTGCCCCAAGTTTCTTTAGCGTTGTCGTCTTTCTTATATGCTCTAGCATCTCATTCTCCATATTTATCTAGAGGATGAACATAGTCTTCTCAACTATTTCTCCCACCAATCTAAACCTTGGTGATATGATTCCATGCACGTATGCCACATGTTATAAGTTTTGGTGATCAACTTCTTGATTCCAGTTATTACTTGGACATTTGTAATTGCTTTTTCACAAAAGTTTTACACAAAAGAGTTCCGTAGTCTCAAACCAATAGTTTCACAGTTTTGGATTGTACCGCATACAAAAAGCCCTTCCAAAGACAACGGTCCTTTACCACTCCTTAAAACGGTCCCAAACGCGATTGGTTACCAAGTTGTAAAGAAAAAGACAACCACACACAACACTTTCAAGATCAAATGTGCTCCCAAATATTCACACTGCAGCGTGTTCCTTCATAAGTTAATTGTATATTTGGTAGAATAAAATATGCATGCTTGCACTAGCACTGATCATACTAAATCATTTTTGACACATAAGCTTCTGCACTAATACCATTTATTTAGATTTTGAAAAATAGTTAAAACTAGCCAACTTTATCTACTACGTTTCCAATAATATGATTTAAGAAAATCATTTACTTACATTTTCAATTATTTTAATAGATAATTTAGCATTAACAATAATATTTAGCTGTTTAGGCAGTGCAACAACTTATAACTGTGTTTTCACCATTTTTTGCAATAATTTACAAATTCCCAGCATATTGTTTCGGAAAATCTTGTCTCTTAATTTTTCCTTCTCAAAACCTAACTTCGAGATTTGAGAAAGACGAGTTGGTTAACAAGGCGTTCATGTATATTAGCGGCATGAGTTTTAACAATTGTCACAGTATTATATTGAGAATAAAAAATGGAGTCCTTTGCGATTGGAGATACCCCAAACATAGCAAACCAATAGTGAAGAAGAAATAGATGCCTCAAGTGAGAGATAATCACGATGCTTAAATCAATTCCATCTATTAAGCGTAATCTTTTATTTTCATGACAATAAATTCAATGGAAGAGGTTGGTTACAACCAAGAATCCGAGGATTGGAGCTTTTTTTAGTGGAGAAAATTGAAGAGCGGACCAATGGTTACATAGAAATATATCCTCGTGAATATACATTATTTGTGAATTCAATAGCAAGGGAATATTACTTTCTCTTGTGTGGTTGCGATTTGTTTATTCCTCATGAATATTACTGTCTCTTCATCTGTAGTAGAACTTATAAAACATTGACAAATGTAGCAATAATAATTTAACAATATAACTTCATCATTTTTTGACATTTTTATAGATACTTAAAAGTGAAATAGAATTATTCTTGAAGCCAACCAAAAGCGAAAAGTGTGGACTGAGGTGAAGATAGCTCAATTTTATAGTTATGTTTTGTTGTGGCTGCAAGGGACCGATATTTCCGAATTCCATTCCACATGGTTCCACTTGCCTCCTCAATTTGCATCTTGTTTAATGTATTTTTCATAATATTACTTAATCTCTCTAAATTATTATTGACTCATTATTTTCCAACGTAAAAATATCTCTTAATTTACACTCTTTTTCATCATCATCATCATATATATATATATATATATATATATATATATATATATATAAAACTGATTATTTATTTTTTACATTAATATTTTTCATCTCATATCTCACCATCTTATTAACCATAGCAATATTATCAATTTGAATTCCTATTTTCTAATAAAATGACGTGTTTTAATTTTTTTTATGATTTTTTCATCACCATTATTTACTAATTGATTTTATACCATAGAAAATACTGACCTGATAATTATTTTACATTTTTGTTGACACTAATACCAAAAAACCTTGCTACATCAATTTTTTACGTATGTTAAAACTTAACCGATGTAACAAAGGTGTGGTGGTATTTTTTAAAATAATAAGAAATTTTAAGATTAATAGCTTAAATTGTCAATACATTAGTTCAAATTGATAATTTGTATAAATTAGAGTTTAGTAGTAAAAATTATATTCCTTCTAAGTTTATGATTATAAAGATGAGAAAAATTGTAAATTTTTTTCATTAGTTAGTAACGGATAAAAAAGTATTTTCTACATTAATTATTTTTTAAATTATTGTAAAAAATTTATATATAACTTTTTACCTCAATTGTTCTTGGAACCTATGTAAAAATAATTTATATGTAACTTTTTAACTTAGTTATTTTTGAAATCGATGTGAAATGTCACATTTTATATAAGTTCTTTTATAATCAATGTAAAAGAAATAGAAAATGTAAGACTTTGAAGGCACATGCGAGTGAAATAGCATAAATTGTAGAATTTTACATTCTAAAGCTTATGTAAGCAATTTTGCTATGCCCTTAACAAACATAAACTTACTTACATTTTTAAATTTCTATTTGCATTGTTGGCTATAGCATTATTGAACATGAACTCTTATTTATATTCAAGTACGTCAATAATTTTATCTTACTTCATTATGTGTTTTCTCCTTTATTAACTAATTAATTTTTTTACATGACATTGACAAATTAATATTGCATGCTTTTTATTTAAACTAAATGTAATATTATATCATTCTATTAGATATTTGTTATAAGGAACTTTGTTTATTTTGAATGAAAGTAAATTTTATACTTATATTATCTATTATTTATCTATCTTAAATATGTAAATGGTGTAAAAATAATGTTCTCAATTCCTTATAAAAAGGGTCGTTACAAATGGCAAAAATGGGAATAGACAAATTAAGAAGGGAACGTGAAATAACATTAATATATATATATATATATATATATATATACTATTCTAAATAGTTTACAAGTGTAACACCAAGTATTTTTAAGTATTAATTAAAGAATTATGTGATATTAAGTGTGATTAGAATAGATTTAGATGGAGTTTGAAAAAAAAAGTGAACAGTAAGTCGGTCATGAACAATAATTCCGTCGA